GGATGAGACTTCGGGACAGATTCGGGAGCGGTCGTGTATAACGTAAGGGGATAAAGAGCAATTGGTATACAATATAGAACAGCATGGCGGCGGGAATAGAGAACCGAGAGAGATAACTAGATTCGTTAGAATGGGATGCAAAGACTGTGCCTTGGGGACGGATGCTGCTCACTGCACAACAAACAAAAATAGACGGCGGCGCCATTAGCATCTTCGGCGCGCTCTATATTTTCAATTTATGCCTTACTTCCTGTATAAGCGTTAACTAATAGGGATGGAACGGAAAGTGACATTATCCATATCCATATAATTAATATTACTGCAATATAAAATGCCAATTTTAAAATTAGGAATAGCATTCAACTATGTACATAGCTAATGTATTATTAACGGGGGGAAGGGGATTGTTAGCAATGGGAACTAGTAACTCCTATTGCTAGCAATGTACCATGTTAGGTCGACCGACACGTGGTTCTCCCTGGAAACCATCGTGATGAATTCTTGGTGCATTTGTCACGATGGGCTAACTGACCTGACTTCGTGCTCATCTTATCATCCTCCAATGGTGCCCCGCCAGCGTAAACCGTTAGCGCAGGCGGGTGCAGCATTTCATTAACATACAGAAAAAAATGTATTATTAGCTATGTACATAGTACGTAGTACGTACGTACAGAGTTTGTTCACAACGGTGTGAATGGTAATGGAAAAAATCAGACCAAATCTTGCTTATATAGTACAACCACTATGTAATAGAATAAAATGACAATAATCTAATAATTCCGTAAACATTTCAGTATTTTCTGGAAGAATATATTTAGTCCACAATAACATTTTTAATTTTCCATGCGATATTTCAGTCATTTTTTTTTCGTACAACTCTTGTGCTGATAATTACAAAGATAATAATACATAAATATTTAGGAAATAAATGCGCAGTCGTTCTGAAGTGAAGGACTTATCTATATTTCTATACTAATATTATAAAGCTGAAGAGTTTGTTCGTACGCGCTAATCTCAAGAACTAACGATTCGAATTGAAAAATTCTTTTTGTATTGGATAGTCCATTTTACGAGGAAGGTTTAAGCTATAAAACATTACGCTACGACTAATTGGAGCAGAGCTGCAATGAAAAATATTACAAAAGGTGGGGAAATTAAACTCAGACGAAGTTGCGCAGGTCAGAAGTTTTCGGCCATTCTATTTCATCGAGTTTTTGGTCTCCAAAACTTCTAACAATAAGATGGTTAAGATAGTTGTGCTATAAGGCTTAGTGAAAGTAAGCTGCGATTCCGAGGATTGTTTGAAGAGAAGCATCCTCGCAAACGTGCAAAAAATAAGTAATTTCCTTCCGAAAAAAAATTATGATTTCCTCTCTCTCTCAAATTTATTAGATGTTACATTATACGCTGAAGATATTTAATTATAATAAATACAATTTGGCCTATGATATTATTAGACAGGTAAAGTCCATGTCACTGTTGATGTTCTTCACGCTACAACCAGATTTTTTTTAATTTATATTTTTTTCAGTATACATATAGGTTTAATTATTACTTGTTCGCAAATTAAACCGGGGAAAATGACAGATTTTTTTACATGTTTGCAAGAGAGCAATTGACCCTCGGATCGGACTTTAACCATCTTCATAACATCTATATTAATCATCTTGGAAGTTTTGAATCATTGGATCGATAAATTATATCTAATTCTTTCCGCACTGTAAACAAAATAGTCCGGTATAGAAGATAAAAATTGGTAAGATATCTGTAAAGTCCGCGTTTGAACTTGTGATAATTTGTTGCTAGCAAGTGTGTGGAACGACAAATCATCAATGAAGAATTATTGTGAAATTAGGCATATCCGTAGTAGTTTGAAATATTCTTACATTTTTTCCTGTAATACATAAAGATGTATTATAATTGATAAAATCATGTATAAATAAATACATGATTTTATCAATTATAATTATTTAATATTTTTTAATCAGAAAGATCGAATCTTTTACATTTAGTCGATTAATTTTAATTTCTATTTGTAGTAGCTAAATATATTCTCAATCTATATCGATAGAATATGACTTTTATATAATACTAGCTATTCCCGCGACTAAGTAACTATTTTAAGGACATGTATATGGACAGGTGAACAAACTTGTACCCTTTCTATATGGGTTCCTCTTTTATGGCTGTGAACTTGAAGCTTCACAAAGCTATTTACGGAAAACAGCAACAAGGCAGCGGTTTTGCAACGTTTTCTTGTGATCGTGATTTAGAAAACAGAAAAATACATCTGTAATTTAATTATACATTAGTCAAGGAAAACTTTTAAAGAAACAATTATAGGACTAAAATAACATGCTAAGAACACATAATAGAGAAACTTGTGACCATCGCCACCACTGTGGGTGCTGAATTCATCATGGGGCAAGGAGAGAAAGAGATCCCGAAATTTGTGACACGGGCGAAGGGTTAAAAAAGGAGCGTTTATCTTATATTCGCTGCGCTTATATTACTCGTATCACTCTCCCCAATCAAATCACATTTAATATGAACCTGATTAAGCCGCTTTGGATACTCGTCACTATCTATCATCAGTATGAAGTGTTGCTTGTGGGTGTTAGGATTATGGTATGGTATCCTGATCAGTTATTTATTTTTGATAAAAATCCAATAGCATATGCTTGTGGTATATACTCCCCAATTTATTTTAACATGAATATGTATTCTGTATCTGTGTTATCATGGTCATTTGCAAAGAATAAATGCTTAGTTTTAGTCAGTCTGTTTTCTTTATTTTGGGTTCATTTCTTTGGTTCATACATAACTGTCAGTTGATACATTTTTTTAATCTATTCATAAGGTGTTAGATAATTATATACCTACTCGGTATATGTATTTGTTTGTTACCTAGATCAAATATAGCATGATAAAATCATGTCATATTTAGATGTGGCCCTTAAAAATATATTTATCTTTCGTTTGTGCTTCATTTCAATCCAATTTTGGCTACAACTATGGAGAAACTTACCTCATCACATATGAGCAAAAGTATTCTGTCATGGCGACATCCTCAATCAAGGAGCAACTTACATCCAACTTATAAGTGTTTTGCTTTACATATTGCCTCTCCACAAGTATAAAAACTTTTTTTTGAAGGTTTTCCCCATCTTGTTAAGTAGTTCTGGTCTGTCATTTGGAAGACATTCATATGAAAGTGTAATAAGGCAGGAGACTAATCATATAGCAAGGTAGACACTTTAGACACTCAGAGTTAATGGAATGCGAAACTCACCTACGCTTAACCACACAATGTGCTAAATTGCATGCATTTATATATAGCAGTCATTTTCTTTGCATGTGTCTTCCCTTTTCTTACTGGTTCCCAAACCAGGTCTACTGAGCTGTGCACCTACATAGTTTATGGAATCTTAATTCAAGGTCTGTTGAACTTTTCTCTTTTCATAGTTGTGTAAATAAATTGTCCTGCCACTTTCTTAAGTTGTCAATGTCAATTATTGTTTTTAATTTCAACCCAAAATTATTGTGAACCCTAAATAGAGCTGAGGTGTCAGATGAACCAGCCATACCATGTTATTATATTCTATTATCTGTATGTCTATATATTCTATTATCTGTATGTCTGTACCCATATAAGTGTAGTGTGAAAATATCAGTTTTTGTATTATAGTTTCAGACATATCATTCTGTGGGTTTGATAGCACTCAACAACATAGAAAAAATTACTAGTAACTTAGGCAATCAAGTGACCAGCATCACTGCACTGAATTTATACTATGGTTAAAATTATTTCACTATTGTTTTGTTTAGATTAAATTATTTTTCTTCTTCATTTTGAAAGACGCCACCAATTAGTTAAATTACCAATAGATAAAATAAAGTGTGTATATTGGTTATGTACTTCACTACATACACAGCAATTTTAGTATGGGCTTGCATTAGCTCTGCTTAGCTTGGGGACCAGATTGTGAATTGTCCTCAGATATTTTTGTTATTAATACCTTTCATTAAGCTATCTGAGTTGACAGATGCATTTAATAAATTATAATTTTATACCTACTGTAAAATGGAATAAATGTGTAATGCTATTAAATAATAAAAAATTAAAAGACTATACTTCCCAGCTCTATATGTGTAAATCCCATGTACCAACATTTCTTAAAGTTTTACACATCCATAAAAAATTAATAATAGTTTGCAAGGGCCGACTCAAAACATAACAGCTATTATGATACATTATATACAGATAAATACAGCAGTTATCATTAAATGTTGAACTCACGGACAACAGCTTAGACTATCTTAAAATATAGAATTAGAATTCTAGATCTGCTTTTTCGATTATAAAGACCTTCCCTTAAATTATTTTAAATAAATATTTTTTTATATTTTAAAGGGTGGTTATTTAAAATAAATACTCAAAGTACTCTATATATATAATTTAAAATTTTAAATACTCACACACACACAGCATCTGCCATCAACTCGGACATGTTTTCAAGTAGTACAGAAACACAGAATCAAATCGATATTTGGAGAATATGTAAAACAACAAATAAAAATATAATATATAGCTTTGTAGATGACATAAATTCAAAATTTTAATAAGAGAATTCAAGTAACGGATAAAACCACAAAAGCACCACAAAATGCCATAAACTAACTAGATTCAAGAATAACTGTCGTGGTGTTGCCAACCTTAATAACTGAACAAAAATAGTATATTGTATCCAGATTTTTTCATTGACATATATTTCACTAAAAAAGGCTAACTTCCTTTTTTATATAACAAATGATTTTCGTTTGTCATATTTCATAAAAATATACCTATTTAAAATATTTAGATACTCTAAAGATATGTACGAAAATCATATAAATGTATTTTTGTGATATTCAATTCAAAGCATTACTTTGTAAGCACTACTTTACTACAACTGGTAATACTATTTGAAAATATGACATTTACTGCTGTCAATTTGGTCTACGAAAAGAATAAAAATCAATGATCTATCTATTTTAAAAAATATCCATAATAAAAAAAAGTCTGTCTGGTCTCTGGTAAAAATAATATATCTATAGATACTTATTTAAAACTCATCTATTAGTTTTATTTTTTAAATATATCAAATTAAAATTAATACAATTTAACCAACAGACAAAAAACACCAAAGAAATTTTTCTCGTTGTACGTACTTTTATCTTTCTAAAAGGTCGTAACCTATTTGTTTTTTCACATAATTTGAATGAAGTCATTTAGTTCATATTAGGTTCAGTTTATTAATATTAAATCTTGTATAAATCTTTGTACCATGTCTACAATGGCAGTCTATAGTAACATACGCTCATTAGTACAAAGAATTGTTATGTTAGATGTCAGAACGAGTGTGCGATTTTTCACTGATCAAATTGATAATCCTAATGAAGAACAACCTGTAGATCCAACAAAAGATAGGACCAAGACTATCCCATTAGAAACAAGTATGAGATATTTAAAAAGTAATGCGTACAAACAAACTTACGGAGACAGCCCAGTTTGGACGTTATATCGACGAAACCATAAAGGCGTATTTGCACCGAGGAAGACCAGACGGTCATGTGTCAGAAACGGTGTGATATCTACAGGAAACCCTTGTCCTATTTGTAGGGATGAATACTTAGTGCTGGATCATAGGAATACAAAACTATTGGAGCAGTTTATATCTGAATACACTGGCCAGGTACTATTAGTTTATTTACTTGTGTGTCTGAAGATTAGAATTATATTTAAACCAAGTAGCATGATACAGCTGATATTTTAGCGCTGTTAGTGGATAATGAACTGTTTTAGTAAATATTCTGTACTCCACATCATACTTACACGACAAAGTCACAATGCCAGGTTGTGCTGAGCATAAATATTAATTATAATGTTTTATTATTTATACTATTTGGTATTATATTTTCAGGAAAAAGATTAAAAATGTAATAATTATTTAAAGGCAACATGTAAGTTTCTTACAATTTTGTTTGTGAGGCTGCATTCTATTTGAGGAGTAGTAAATAAATAATTGCTTATCTTATGTTTATTTCTATATATTTATGTAATAAGACTGTTGGCCGCTTATAAATGTCTGGATGGAGTAATTAGTAAATTTACTTTAAAAAATCAATATAAATAATCACTGTTTGTCATTGTAACTTTATATAGAATTTAAGATGTAGTAGAACATATAATATGTTCATATATTTAAATATTTGAAATCTGGTCTATTTATTTTACCTAATTATACTTGATAATCAATATGACAAATACAGAGGCATATAATGAGGTGGCAGACCTTAGGATGTTTATGATTATTTATGAGATACATAAATAGCCTAATTTATATTTTTCACACACACATGTCAGCTCATTTCATCCCATTATGACAAAATCACTAGGAATTTATTATGATCCATAGTGCTTCTGGATGGAGCAATGGAATTATTAGTTGAAATGACTAACAATCTATATTTAGCATATATCCATAACAATGTGTTATAGCAATAACATAATAAAAAGTTTAAATATTTTTTTATTTCTAGATACTGGATGCCTACAAAACTGGTCTTTGTCAAAAGAAGCATAAAGAATTACTTGTAGCTATTGAAAGGGCGTGGGACCAAGGACTCCTTACATATGATGTTCCATTCAGGAAATATGATTATTCTTTGTACAATAAAACAGCAAATAGTTAGTAATATAAAATATAATTATTGTAGTTGAATAAAATATACTTTCCAAAAGTTGTTACTTCTTTCATTGCACAATGTTTATTAATTATCATTAGGAAGCCTAATTTTTATGGCACACAAAGTTGAACATTATTATATACACTTTAAGACTAGTATATCACTATAAGTCACTATTTTAATTTACATATTTAGGATGAGAGGAGATGTGTTTTGCACCTAACTCCTAAATTACTGGATTGAGTTGCATGAAATTTTGTGTGTATATTACAATGATATCCTGATTGGTTTGAAAACAAAATTGCACATGGTAGGCGTTGCTTTCCAGGCACTACCAGGTCCTCTAGTAGGTTATAATAATACTAGATTTCTAAAGTCTGGTCTTGCAGTATACCAAGCTCACATTATGTGAAAGTGTCCATTAATTTTGTTCTATTTCTTTGAACTAACAATTCCCTGATGAGTGCTGATTTTTCTCTTTCTAGAACTGATATTCTTTCGTTTTTTCGATTTACCTCCTGAAACAAAATTTATTATTGGAAACTCGTTATAATATTTTTACATCAATTTAACAAAGAAATGTTGCAATTAATTAATGATCTGTCTGGAATAATTCAATTTCAATACAATCGTATGAACACACCCAGTACAGGTAATAGATAGCTGTTTTCGTTTATGCCCGCCTTCGCCAAGTTATTTATTAATTATTATACATATAGTATGTATAGATATGTGCTATAATAAATAACTAGGCGAGGGCAGATGTCCTCCAAATTGATGGAAAATATTTACTTAATGCTTAATTATGTTATATAAAAGCCTCCTGTGTATAAATTTCAAATATTTAGAATGCCTCTGCCCTGGGTTTACATGTGGGATGCCTATAATTTTATTTCACTCTATCTCCAGTTAGTAAAATAACAGTTATAGTTTGTAAATGTCCTGTTATTTATATTTTATATTTCATACAAATATGTCCAAAAGCATACATGTCGTCTGATCGTAAATGGGTTCCGTAGTAGATGTCTGCCCAGCCCCACACTGAAGGTGAACATGGAGAGACTTTGTAATAACTAAAAAATTTACTACACATAGTAATAAAACGAATAAATAAATTTAACTATACTCTTTATGTCTAGCACACATACAACAGCGATAGTTAGTTCAATTTCAATCAAAAACGAATCAAGAAATGAAAATAGAATGATAGTGTCCTGTCTAAAGTGATAGCGTCGTTTATTTTCTATTTATACAAGGTCAGACGATATATACATATGGCTTATTGCGACCGTCTAGTGTACGTAAATAGTTTATTTATGGTAAATAACTATCATGCAATTACAATTCTATTCTATTAAATTTGTATTATGTAAGAGATGTGAATTAGAGATGTTTAAGCCGAAATCAGTATTACTGGTTTAGTACAGCAACTCATAATGTACCTCAGCTACCTCCGATGGTCGCAGATTCTATTCTAGAATATTATACAAGTACAAACATTTGTATTAATGAATAATGTAATTATTAGTATTGATCCTGAACAAAAAATATTTCTATCAGTTATTTAGTACCCATAGTAGGTACTGCTTAGTGGGAGTAGATGGCGCTGTATGAATTATCCTGAATCACAATATTTATTATTTTGTGTGACAGACCTCAGCTAGCATACGATTTTGTGACTGCAATACAGAAGCATTAGGGCAGTAGATGTTGACACCTGTGACACCGGTAAGGCTACAAGTTCATATGTAGAATATGTCCATTTCTCCATCCAGCCGCCAAAGTTCCAAGTTGACGATTGAGCTCTAACACACGAGCTCGCAATAATTCTAAACGTTCCTGGTGGGCTTCACTCCAAGGCTCCTATACAGAGAATTTGTACATATAACACCTATATATGTAAAATAAATAAATAAATAAATATATATATTTAACATTTTTAACATATATATATATATATTTTTGTTTTGTACTGCTTAACTGTAGAATAAAGTCTACACTTCAAGAAAGTTCCTTAAATTCTTGGAGAAATTAATCATTCTTATAATTATGTTCAATATATATTTTTGTTCTTATTTATTTTTACGATATAATTATAAATCATTAAAATTCTTTTTATATTTCTAATAATATCCATGGATAGTATGTAGGTATACACTTTAGAAATAAATTTTAGAAAATATCAAGATATTCAGAAAATCTTGTAAATAACTTACCTACGGCATAAGAAATCTATTTACGTGCTAAAAATAAGAAGCTGGAACACGGACATAATAATAGCGAGTAACAACTGCTTATCTATTATAGGCACAGACAAGTATTTTTAATACTTATGTTCACTTTACATTTGTATTTTTATGACTATGTACGGATATTTAATGAGTAGATATGTAGTATTCATTTCATTAAATTTCCGAACATAACAAGTTATACATTATAAACATACTCATTCGGTGTTATTTTTCTATAAAATTAATCGTTTACACTATGATAAATACGAAACGTCGCAGTGTCGCAAACTGAGTACCTCATAAGTAATCACCCTTTCGGTGCGCTCAACCACCTAATCCAAACTGGCGATATGTAATTTAAAAAAAGTTTTGACTTACCACATAAACGCCCATCCTTCCTGCATATCGCATTTTTTCTTGAACTTCTCCTAATTGTTTTAGGTACCATTCCCGTGCTTCCTCTACAGCTGTTAAACCTTGTAACAGAACATCCTTTTCTTGTTCTATTTGTTTCATTCTCTTCAAAAGATTATAGTCAACTCCATTATGTAAAGTATGCCGCCGAGGCTCACGTCGACGAGATGTACGACGAACAGTTTGTGACTGTGTTTCATTCGCTGACCGTCCATCTCCAAGACCTCTACTCTGTTCTTCTAAAACTCGAGTTATGTCTTCAAAATTAAGTTTTGTGTCACTTATCTCTTCGTTATCAAAGACCGTTTCTTCGGATTTATAATTAGGTCTAGAACTTTCTTGCCTTTCTAAAGATTTTTTTTCTAATCTTGGAGGTTTGGGTGGTCCGTAAGGTCTAGATTGCTCGTGTTTAGGTATATTAATAATTGAGGTGTGATGTAGTGATTCCTCTGTTGCTAAATCTGTTCGTTCTATTAGTTGTGGCATACTGATAGTTCGTTGTTGCGCCGAATTTTCAGACTTCATAACATTCCAGTTTCTATCTCTGTTTTGAACATCGTTTACATCCAGTAAAGGCGCTGAAGGTGGTCGGTGTGCTTGTGCATGGATAGTCGTAGTTTCTACGTTGTCATTTATTCGGTCCGTAGTATTTGAGACATTTTCAACTTGGTTACGAAGAAGGCATATTTTTAGACCTGTACAGAATCGTTCAAAAGTTAGTAAACCATCGTGGGAGGCGACCTTTTGAAGGCTTTCTATGACGCCACGGGGTAAACCTTTGGTTCGGTCGTCACGCCAACGGTTTTCTATATCTGTAAGTTTTACATACCCAGTATGTTTGTCATCCATAATATTGAATAATGTTCTCATTGCGGATATAAACTGCTTGGGTAAAGAATCTACATTCCTTGGGTTTACTTGGGTCATATTGATTGTGCAATTTTCCTGAATGCGTTAGGTACAACCTACACAACATAATAAACACTACGATTGGACACCCATCAATGACTAGGTTTAGATAGTATATTCAAGGTTGTAAATTTTTAGTTAGGTCAGTCACTTATTATAATAATCGTATTGTAAATTATACAACCATTGTTGAATTGTCTGTTACTATATGAACCTTTATATTATACACAACACACCAACACCAACGGTCGTTTTGTTAACTGACCACAATCCACTATCACAGTATGTGTATGTATACGAATAAAAATGTGACCGTTTGTTGAACGGTACGTATGGTGTGATGGCAGTAGGCGAGCCGACCCGCCGGGTGGGAGTGAATTTGCAAGTATAGCGCATACGAGTGCGAGCAAGAGAACCGGTCAAACAACATTTCAGGCTCTGAGCAGGTAGAAGTGGCCGTCTAGCCGCAGATCACCATATCAGCGGCCTCTAATTTTTATTGTTTTTACATACTAAATTAATTTATATTTTCAACTAATGTTAAGAAGGAGACTTTTAAGTCAACTAATTATATTTATATGACCATATATGATATGCAATATATGAAGGTAAGCACTGGTTCATATACATACAAGTATATACATTCCAAAACTGCTTTTCATATTTTCTGCAACCTCAAAATTTAGATACGACTTAGGTGAGACTTGTAAAGAAAAACACCTTAAAATCAAAGAGTATTGTAGTAATTAGTTTACTGAATATTAAGATTTTTAAAATTAATTATACTTAGTTGAAACTTATACTAGCTGTAACTTTAATTTCTGATAATGTTCATTTCTTTAGAACAAAGTATTTTTTAAACCAATACATTTGTAAGTACATTTTTATGTTTATCATAAACGTAAAAAATAATAAATCTTACTTCTTTATTTGCCCCATTACTGGTGATGTAGCCACCTACAAGTAAGTATGCCGTCTACCCTGGAACAGTCCCCTCTGGAAACCATCATTATAAATTCATGGTGATACAATAATGATGATGGGCTACCTAACGTGAACTCATGCTCATCTTACCTTCTCTCCACACCTCTCCCCCAGCGTAAACCGTTAACGCAGCGAGAGATCTGTTCCATCATTAACTATTTAAAAAACAGTCTAAAAAATCTCTACTATGCTTTTAAATTTTACTACATTTTTTTTAAACTAATGAAGTGGTAGTTATACTATTACCTCTGACTATGCATATTGTAGTTTCAAATACTTTTCATACCAATATTATTATATGCAATAATTATAAAATATAAATAAATATATATATATATACATACCTACTATATTTTTTATGTGTGTATAATGCGGCATCGATACTATCATACCTACCTATATAGAGTAGGTATATTAGCTGTTGCCCGCAACTTCTGTTTTTATTGAGGTATAGTAATTTCATCAGGCTACATACACCATATATACCTACATACTACCTTCTTTCATGTCTTTAACTAGTATATGTTCAGGTGAAAATAAAACAAATAGAAAAAAGATGGAG